AGAATTCCACTGTAATCTACACCATATTAAAATACTAAAAATAGAAAAATAACTCTAAAACTAGCAGAAAACGAGATCAAGTGATATCATTTAGTGTCCTTTTTACTCTACCGGGTGTTTTGATTGTAAAAGTTGAATAAAAACTGAAAAGGAAGGAACATATAAAAAGGAAGATTATAATTTATTATATAAATAATAGTATTAATTTTAAATATTAATATATAATATTAAAAATAAAATTAGTTTAATATATAAATTATATAAGTATTATATATAAAGGAAGTATTAACAATATTAACCTCTTCAGCAGCATCAACCACAGGGATCTCATTGAATAAATTTGCACTTTGTTTTAATTTATTAATTACTCACATATTTTAAAAGTGTACATACATAAATGTTTTTTTTTTCGTTGAATGAAAAAAAAAAAAAAAATTTTGAGAGTAAAAGTGATTCATGGGTAAAAAAAAGGTTGAGAACAACTGATCTAGCTAATGTCTTACCATTATGTGGGTGGTATATCTGCTGCACCCTGTATAATGTATAGTTTTGTCTCTGAAAAAACAGTTGCTCAAAGAGTCTTCTATACATGACACAAGAGGTACCTCCACACAATCTTGTACTGATTATGTAGTTATTAGAGTGGTTCTATTTCCAACTTGAATTAATTGGTTTACAAAGTTTCTTTGTTCTTCTTAAGTTGGTTGCAGTTCAGCCAGAGATGACAGCATTTGAAGAAAATATTAAAAATAGTTGTTCGTGTTATTTTTTGAAAAGAAAAGGTAAGACTTTTATGCTGTTCTCCCTCAATAAAAAGGCCCTTATCACTAAAAATATGGTATCAGAAATATTTTGTTGACATGTAAGGTAAAAATAGGAATTATCAATGATAATTAAATTTTGATCTTTTAATAAATATGTTTGGTCAGATGTAGAAATGTTTTTTATACTATTGTTCATTCAATACAAGACTTAAGAGTCACCCAAGGTAGAGGTTTACTAAATGAGGTTACTGTGAGATCATACAAAGGGGGAATAAGAGGTATATATGGGAGATAACAGTTGATACTACACTTGGGATTCTGTTCCATAAAAAATGACAGTTCAGGGTAAAGAAGCTGCCTGAGTAGAACTTCTTCCTTACCAATGGAATATGAAGGGAATGAGGATGAGTTGATGTATATGGTGAGTCCTAGCTGTGAAGGTTTGAACTGGTTGAACTAAAGAATGTTGCTTATTTGTCATGAAAAATAGCGATATTTCTCCTGTGGGAAAGGGGTTTTAAGGTGGAAAATAATTCATCACTCACAAAGCTGTGTAATTACTTTTAAACTCTGTCAAGTCTGGACACTGAGGACTGGGCAGTACCAGTTACAAGGTACTGTGTCAGTCTATGGTACAGGTAGTTTAAATAAGCTATGAAATGTCTTGCCACTAGACTAGTAGCTGCAATACTTGTTCATACAGAAGATGAGAGTTGATGAGTTTTGATTGTAAGCTGATTGAGGATTGCATTAGGTACATTTTGTTACATCTCCTTGTAGCATCAACAGTGAAACAAACTGCATTCAGAACATTGACCGTATCAATCACTGCATTTGCTATTAGTCTTTGCTCAAGAGTTTGAATAAATGAGGTTTATTTATTTCCACTTGTTCTGCCATTGGCTGAAAATATTCTCCAGGTGCTACTTAAACAATTGTGCAATGATTTGCTCCATTTTCAAGGAGAACTTCAGTTATTGGTTAAAGAGCTGCATTTTCTGTTTTGTTTCTGTTGCACCATCCATGCAAAATGTCTACAATCATTTCATCTTTAAAAGAGTTCAACAAGTCTATGACATTTTCTGTATAGCAATAAGAACAAATTGCAGCAAACAAGCTGTGGATATTTGAAATTCTGAAGATCCTTCCAGTGTATCTTCTAATAATCTTACTCATAAGCAAGCATCTTTGAAAGTCAGTATAATTTGGCCTTCAGCTGTAATCAGTGGAGCCACTGCCATTCTCACTTGATTATCTGGAGCCAGTGCTTTGTTCTCATTCTGCAATACTTTTTTGTCAGGTTTTAGAGCACATAATTTAGCTCTCCTTGAAAGATGGGACAATCTAGGAGGACTGGAACAAGGTGCACATTTCTTGTATGTCAAGTGAGCTCATATATTATATATCTACTCTCATTTCTTCCTCCGTGTGTGTGTGTTAGTTTTAAGGGATGCTATATTTATGGGTAAAAGTGCTCAATATCATAGAGCATATATAAATATATAAAGTGGTTACTGAGGTTCAACATCAAGCTGCATGGTCTTGACTTCAGTGTCCACTATCATTTTTTCTTTTCATTTTTCTCTCACTTTCTTACCTCCTACTTTTCCTTCTTCACACTCTCTTCTCACCCCCTCACTTTTTCTCCTCTATACCACACTTTTTCTTTTCTTTACTTAAGATCAATCATCATAATTGTACTTGTTCCTTCATACTTCTGTAATACCTTGCATGTCCCCTGCCCACAAATCTTTGGGATAGTGGCAGTCAGAGTAAATCTCTGGCCCCCATTTATTTTCTTTTTAACTTTACCAAGCCTTATTTTGGAGTGCATTGAATTTGTACACCTGTTTCTAGAAAAAAAATGGAAAGGGAAGATAGAGGAAGTGATAATGCACCCCCACCTCCTGCTTCAGTGAAATGTCAAAGTGAATATGATATATGGCAGCCTGAAATGGTTAACCAAAAAGTGCTCTATATGATTAAAGAAATTAAATGTCAAAAACCTATTTAAAAAATTTCTTATAGCACAATATTCTGTATATGACTGTATGAGTATTTAATGAAGGCTTACAATTTATCCCCCTTAAAATGTAAAGACAACTCGTCTGGCAAGCATAGACTTTCTGTATGTCCAGCTAGTATATCTACACTATATGAGTGCTTGGCAAATAATGTGGCTATTATCAATATCTTAAAAGCTAAGAGTGTTTAAGCACAGTGTAGAAATGAATAATTCTCTCAATTTGATTTATAATGATGTTTATCAAATGTAATGCAGTGACGTATTTATTTTTACTAATTTTGAGTTTCTTAAAACTGCTCACTTAACACAGTCTTAGGAAATTGAAATGATAACATGTCAATCAATTGTTTGCTTATTCAACATACATATTCTAACTGTAAAGAAAATTATGAACAGACTTATGTGCATATGTAACATGCACTAATGTATTTTCTATGTAATGTTTGCTGCTCATTTTCTAATACTCATAGAATAGAGCAAGTTTCAAGATTATTCGTCATCTATTTTGTTGTTTAAATATTTGTAAAGATTTCATGCATGGCTCAAATATATTTACTGCCTTTGGAAATGAATGTTCCTTTTTCAATATTCATTTAGTTCAATGTTTCAATTTTTGAATCCTGAGATTCTAATTGTACAGCACAAGTCATCAGTGTTTTTAGTCTTCTATCTAAAATGCCAGGATAACCTGTTTAGCTACAGTGGGTATGATCATTTTTTTTTCCTTTTTAAATAATTCTTATCTGCCTCATCCAGTAAATAATGTTTTTCTTTAGAAGAAATATCCTTTGCTAAGTAAGCAAAGGTTATTTCTTCTCAGGAAATTACTTTCTTAATTAAACCTTTTTTTTTTTTTTTTTTTTTACAATGCTTGAAATTTCATATATTATAATGTATTGAAATGTGAATCTTATAGTTTTATATATATATATATATATATATATATATATATATGGGGTAGCCAACATTATTTTATACAAAATTTTGTGTATTCCGCCTCTAGTTTGGAACTTTTGCACACACCTAATAAAACTATTCTAATTTCATTATTGGTAACTTATGAACTTGGAAAACAATCGCAAAGAAACTAGAATAGAAGATCCTTTTTCTCATGAATCCTGTCAAATTCTAGAAATTTTTGGTACAGTTTTTTTTACATTGTATATTGTTATCAAAATGAGAGAAAAGTTTACTATGTTTTTATTTCCTAATTTTTGGATCTTTGCAGATCACCAAAGATTCCACTAAAGAAAAAGATCTATTTCTCTACTTGAACCATTCGTGGTAAGTGTTTGTTTTATTGCTTTGATATTTTTGTCAAAGCTTCATTGAAAATAAGTATCTTGTCAGCCATTTATTCATTTTTGACTTCTTACATTGCAACTACTCTGACTGTCATTCTATAGCCATTAGTGAGTTACATGGACTGAGACTAAAATAAAATTAAATACTGCTCAAAAATTAATAACAGTTGACAATGCCTCATGTAATATAAATTAAAGATAAGAAAGTTGTCCATCAATCTTCTACAAATATATTTTTATGAGATAGCATAGAGTTTTGTCATATTAGTAGATATCAAAAAAAAGAAAGAAAAGTTATTTCAAGTCATAATATTGCAATCAAATATTAATAATTTACAAAACTAGTATTATCTAGGAGTTGATCTGTAGTCACCCAAGTTAATCTTGGACTCATTCTAAGAGGTATTAAAGTAAGCTTTGTCTGTGCTGTCACATAAGAGCATCAAAAGACCTAGGTGCTTCAGATGATTGGCCTAGGGTCTAAATGACTTTAGAGCCACCAAGTACAGAATCAGACCCAAAAAGGATGTCAGTGGCTGTCCTAATATACAAGATCATCTGGTTTGACTGCTGTTTATATGTATACACACAAGATAACAGGAAGTTATATAAATGCCTCAGGCACAAGTCTATCACATCCTTGCGAGAAGATTGAGCATTCAAAGAAAGACCTAATACCACCTGACCCTTGATTAACTAACAATAATTTGATGGAATAAATAATTGTTTAAAACATGAACAGTTTTGTCTCATATTTATATCAGATGTTACACTTGTGTGCCATCTATCTTTTTTGTAAAAGGCTGGAACAACAGGTTTGATTAATTCCACTAAGGCACTTCTAGGTTTGTTGTAGGTTGCTTAAAATGAAAGACAGACTGAAAGGAGAAAGAGAAAGGAACTTACTGCAGGTTGAAGTGTTTTGATCTGTAATTGAGGAATCTGTGTTTGAACGTTTGACAAAAGATTGTTTGAAGCCAAGATGGTGCTGGCTTTCAGAAAGTCCCCCAGCTTAAATGGTGCACTGCTTATTCCTGGCTTGATGAAGAACATCTCAACAGAATTCCCCTGCAGCTGAAAGAACAAAAAGTAAAAAAAATGAAATTAAGAATCTAGTAGGGGGAGATAAAATTCTGGTTTCTTGATTTGCCTGGAGATTTAGCCTATTATGTGACATTTTTCAATCTTAATGACTTCAAAACCAAATCAAGCAAACATATATTTTTAAGTATTCAGAGGCAAAAGGCAGCTTTGGGTGGACTAGAGAGGATGCAGATGAAAAAGTCATTTATGAAGACAAGTGAGAAAATTGACACAACAGAAGTTAACCAATCTTTTCTTACTGGCATCTACTTTCTATTTTGGACAGACATATAATGATCTTTAAAAAAAAAAGATATTTTATTCATAAAAAAAGGATACAAAAGTATCACAATTGATTATAATTTTAGGTACATTTCAGTTGTCACATCTTCAGAAAAAAAATATCGTCAGCAAATAAAATTAAGTGGTTGAAAAGAAAAATTATTTTCAACAACTGGTGTTAAAATATATCAAAACTTTGGGAGGGAACAGTATATATATATATATATATATATATATAGAGAGAGAGAGAGAGAGAGAGAACTTTTCCAGTTGTTATTTGATGTATGAGGGCGCAGCAGTTCATTTCTTAGAATCGAATAGCCAGATGATCCCCACATCCAATTTGATTATAATGCTACTGTAATATGCAGTCTTTGACTTAAACCTGACAAATGTCAAAATAAGAAACCAAACAATGTGTAGAGAGATGATACAAATGGTATCTAACATAAAAAAAAATTAAAAATTATGAAAAATACAATTACAGTCTAACTTATGACCAGATCGATTTACAGCCTATCATTCATAGCCAATTGTCGTCATAAGTTTCTGATATATATCAGAAACACTGACCTATTTGAAACCAAGGTTTCTTGTTGCCTGATGAATCCATCTTAGCAGTAAGCATGGTTGCAAGTAGGTCAGTGTTTCTGATATTTTACATAATCCTCTTCTTCTCTCCCCCCCCCCAGCTATGGGCAAGATAGCCGGATAGACTGGGTTCTATAGCCTTGAATGGCAACTAGTCTACTGCAGAAAGAAATGGCAATCTAATCTGCGTCATGTATTGAAAGATACATGATTGCCTACATGTGTATCATGCATGGCACATAACTGATCTGATTGATATATGGGAAGAGTCAAATTTGGATGTCAATTTGATAGAATGGTAAAAATGGCAATTTTGAAAATTTCTACTTTGACATATTTCCCCAAGGAATTAGTGCCATCAGAAAAATAATTTGATTTTACAAGAACAAAATCATGCGCATGATTAATGTGATTCATATTAAGCAACTGAATGCTTGATTTTTTTTTTTTTACACTTTAATTGTACCATGAATGGAGCATGTACACAAATGTAAATAATCTTGAGGAAAATGGAAAAAAAAAGGATACTTTATTTCCATTTTAATCAGAAAGAGACAGCTGAAATTTTTTGGATGCATAATAAGGAAGGCTTGGAGAATTTGACACTCACAGGACATATTGAAGGAAAAAAGGACAAACCACTTATCTGACAAACTTGTTAGCAACATTTGTTCCAGCATCAATTCTAAGTGCTATAAAGGATAGGAGGTTGTAGAGAGCCATAACTGCCCACATCCTGAAGGGACATGCCATATAGAAGAATTAACTAAATTTCATCTTGGTTATTTCATCTTATTATTTTTGTTTGTTATTTATGAATTGGTAGCCTGCTGGGTCTATTAGTGGGGCTCTGGTACCATTGTATGGAGATTGTATATTTGTGGCAAAACTTATACCAATATGTAATAACAAACAAGTCAAGGATGAAGCAATATTGAACACTATCCTTGCTGTACTGCTATCAACATGAACCTTTTTGCTGATAATATCAGTTCATTCAGCAATCAAATCAAACAAAATGTTTCAAGTTCCAACAAAAATAATGTAAGATCAAATATGGTAAAAGAATTTCCCCACACTCAAACATTGAGGTTTTATATTTTTGTTTAATATAGACAAGGAATATAGAATGCAACTTACAACTGAGAAAGTATCAACAGACACAATGGATAAAAAAAAAAAAAGGAAGATGAAAATATTAGTCAAATAATTAATAGAATAATAAATATAGAACTGCATTTGCTTTGGTTTTAAAACAATATCTAAATAAATGTGTTTTTTTTTTTTTTTTTTATGTAATCAAAATGCACGGAGTTCAGAACTACTGTTTGTCTTTGAAACTTATAAAACTGAGAAGAGATTCAGTTGTGAATGCAGCTTAACAGTCATGTTATCTTGAAATCCATAAGCAAAGCTGATGGAAAAATTTGTTATGATCAACTATGACTGGAAGGTTACACATGACCCTCTTTGGTATAAAATAAGTTAATTGACACAAAATTTATTGGGGAGTAAGGATGCTGAATGAAATAGCCATTCAGTCAACAGGTTGATATATGGCCAAGTTTGGTTAGCATTGACTTCAACATTTTCTGGTTTTCTTTGTTTAGCAAAGTTGGTGTTTGGGGAACTCCCACCACCTTGGTGCAATACAAGAGATTGGATCTCATTATATTTTCAATTTAGAGATTTTCCAAAATTTACAAGGATATTTTTGGTGCATTGCAATCAAGAATTCTTTTGTTACTAAAATGTTGAATTGTTTGCATGGTTTTCTTAGTTACACCTTTTGGCTGCCAGTAAACTCATTCAGCTTTTATAACTGAAAATTTTAACATCATCAACAATATTCTTATAGTCTTACTATTTTTAGATCTTCAAGCATTTGAGCTGAAGTCAACTCTTCGTCTACTAGGGGATGTTTACCATGGAAATATTTATAGAAAAGACACTGGAAAGTGATTGAAGTCAAGATGCCAGGTCAGGACCGATAATATTACAGACACTGCTTTGGATGTTATCAATTATCTTTCTATGGCTTATCAACCAGGTTATTCAAAGCCAGAAAATATTTTTAGATTGTAAGAATTTATTTTTTGGTAGATAATGGTTTAGTGATACAAGTCTTATAATTACCCCTTAGCTGTGGGGGAAAAAGATTTGTGCATAATTGAATATAATAAACCCAATTGGAACTCGGCCCTTGAATTAACAATTCCGAACCATTATACATTACAAATCCCACATATCCAAGCTTACAATACCTGGTATTCCCAAGTGGTCACCCATCTAGGTATTGACCAGGTATCAAATGGCTTAACAGTAACTGGTATTTTAATGTGATGTGACCATAAGCCAGATTTTATCAAGTAATTTAAGATATATAGCAGAAACACTAGATCAGATGTGGCAGCAATATTCAATTATTAATATAATATTTGACTGACCATAAAGTGGGGGATTGATTTTCTATTGTTACTAAGTGAGAAAACTGCACCCAATCCCAATTACTGCATATTACTATAATAATTTGAAAATATATTTAAAGAGTCACATATGAAAATCTAATAATACTAAGTCTTAATCAAAATTAAGGTTATTTTTTTTTTTTTTTTAGAACATTAAAAAAATCCAAAAACATTCCAATAGAACATGCTCACCTTTCTGATGAAGATTTGACATCTACTTTGAGTTATTGATAAATCTTTGATGATTGTATGAAATTAGATGCCATTTTCTGCATTTTCTTTATTTGCCATGAGGAAAGGGCTTAATATTTGGTCATCGTGATTCACAAAACTAATTAATTCTGAAGATTCACAGCTGTTGTGCAAAAGTCATGTACTGACAATAACATTTTGAAGTAAAACTAATACAAATATATATCTGTTTATACAAAATATTTAATCATTTCATAGTTAATCAATATAGTATTAATCAATGTGTATAGTAACAGATTTCTGCTATTAACAGCACTTGTCATCAATTCTGAAAATATCTGCTGACATCACTATGATGAATGTTGTTATATAAAACTGATAGAATAGAACAAAAATGAAGAAAATATTGGACAGCATCATTTGGCTGAGTTTTAAGAAGTGCATCAACCCAAAGGAATATTATTGATTGATAATTATTTCCTTCATTCTTAATGAATAAAAATTTTTTTTTTCTTTAAATGAAAAATCCAATATTTCAAGTGCATTTATTGAATATTAACCCATTTAAGGCAAAAAAATGCTTTCAAAGACAAAAGATAAGAATTAATTTTTATCTTGTGTAGAAAAGAAGACAGTGTTTAAAATTCTTGTACACCATCTGGAATTACTTACATAAAGTTTCATTTTTTTTTTTTTTTTCAATTATTGATATTTAATTAGTGTGATGCTTGATTAACAATATTCCAGTCTAGAGAATATTGTTATTTGGTATACCATTTTACTCCAGCTGTAAAAAATGGTGGCCTATTTTGTTAAGCCCTTCCTCTTATAAGGTTTTTCACACATGAGTCTTTAAATATACTTTTTCTATTATATTAATATGTATTAATTATGATTTGGGGTTAGTATATCACAAAGAAACAATAGAGAACCAATCCCCACATTTTATGTCTAGGAGAATTTAATGAGTTTTTCACGTGTGAATCTTTCACGTAAATAATTTTCTAATTATGATTGTTATAGTCAGTTCTCTTAGGGAGTCTGTGTCTCCCCCACCCTTGAGCTTTGTCAAAAAAAAAAAAAAAAAAATCTAAACAGTCTATCACTGTCATAAAGACACTGCCATATGTCATTATCATTGCAAGGGAGAACTACATACAGTTAAAAGTTACAGGCAAAAAACCCTTTATACATAAATTTTCTATGCTATTATTATTATTATCTCTCACATTTAGCCATTTTTCTAAAAAAAATACAGCAATATTTAAGTAATGATAATAATGTGGAGGTACGGTATAGTAATGGATAGCACATCGAAATGAGGAATCAGAGCTGAGTTCAAATTCCAGTCAAATTCATAACATTCAATTATGTACTAACACCCTTGGAAAAGTTATGAATCCATCTTTTCTCCCAAGCTGTGGGTAAATAATAGGACAGACTAGGGTTCTGTAGCCT